ATATATATATATATAAATTATTTAACCAGTGTAAAAATATTAACATTTTTGGATGTATATATACGATTTGTTAAATTATAAAAAAGAAAAATAATAAAAAAGTTATTAATTTATACAGATCCAATTGCGCGAAAGGGTAGCGTTACGTACAGTTGCTAGATGTCTGAAAATATGCATTATAATGATTTATATATGTCTATATACATATACACATATGTGTCAAGCAAAGAAGAAACAATTTTTCAGCTTCTCCGTACCATATCTGTTAAATTGGAATATATAAATTTGTAGATAATTAGATAATATAAGTTAATTTCAAAATATCTATTTAATATATATAAAGGAAATATTGCAATTTGGAAATATTAAAAAAATACAAGCATACAAAGTTTTAATATATAATCTTCTTTTATACAATTTTTTTATCAATTATTTAATCAGTGTAAAAATATTAATGTTTTTTGGATATATATATATATATACTTTCATTATTTATTAGACTATATATATTACTTTATATATTATACTTTATATATATTACTTTCATTATTTTTGTATTTTTATAATTTAACAAATCTATTTCCATCTTCTTTCCGATTCTGTGCCATGTGTTTTAAAAATTCTTACACCACAAAAAAAATAATATTTATCAAATTTTATGGTCTATCTTATCGCTACTGTTATCCAGCTAGTGTCACCGCGGTCATAGCAACTTTTTGTTGCTCGTGATAAAAAACGAATGAGTGATCTTTTTTAGGAAAATGATAACGGAACGTCTGTCAGCGAGAATTGCCACATTATACTCCGCGATCATTAAATTTCTTAACACATCACAAGATTCAATTTTTATTTTAACTTAATTTTTAAAACATTTAATAATTAAAAATTAAAATTAAAATTGTCATTTTTAAATGATATCACATATATATAACAATGAGTGTTCATAAACAATTTATAAATTAATTATGGATATAATTTCTCCAAATTATTGTTGCATATTTTTTGCCTTTTTTCTTTACAAATAAATACTGACGTATTTAAAATACATTTATAATTTAAAATTTATGTGCTATTGATTTTCTGCAGATAATCACCATACACTTACCTAAAATCAGATCAGGTCCCACGCAGATTGGCTCGTAATGGCGCTCGAATGAGCATCAAAAATGATATCATCTAATCACGCTCCGACGATGACACCCCGACGCATCCTACTGGAAAATCTGTAGCACCCTTCCGAGATGTCACAATAAAACAACGTGTAGCCAACTGGTGGCCACTTGACGACAGGGGGTACCGCCATTCTCTCACCCTTAATGTATACTAAGCAGGGCTTTCGTTTTTTATGCTCATCGAATCGTGGGGATCCGGCTAATCGAAAGTTGATTGTTTGGGAAAAATTTTCATGAATGCATCATCGATTTCATCTTATGCAGTCTCATTATAATATGCAATTGCTATTTTTTTGTTTTTTATTAAATATCAGTTTAATATTATGTTAATAATTAATTTTTGTTATTTCATTTAAGGATATTTTATCAATTGTTATTTATTACAACTGCATAGTCATAATCAATGAAACATTTTCTGGAAAAAATAAATACAATAATACAATAATGCAAAATTAATACACTATACAATTAGAATTATTAAAATTATTTTAACAGAATATTATTATTTCTGACAAAACTTTTTGTTGCATTAAACAAAAAATTGTAATATTGCTTACGCAAATGATCATTTTCTAATATTTTTTATTAATATATATTATTTAATTAAAACTCAATTCCAATATTATTCTTTTTTTACACAAATCATGAATAATGCATTATTTTCTTCTGCGTGATTATTATATACATAAAAAAATTTGAGAAAACTAGTCCAAAAAAATAGAAAGCCCCGTTACAAAGATCGATAAAGAAATATCCCCCGGGTGCCCCACTGAATTTAATAGGGGATATTTTGTAGCGGTTTCCCACAGGCCTGGCAACTCGCGACCCAATTTGCGCGTGCCAATGAATAAGAATAAGGTATTAATATTGCCATTGCCGCACGAGATTGACTCACGTGATTCTTATCGCGGTCTTCGGCCACCATGCCGATTTTCAGATAAAAATTCGGAGAATCATTAATGTCAACGCGATCCAGTCGAAAGATTTATATCCGTAAATGCATCATAAATTTAACGATATCGCAGAAATATCGTAATTATAGATACGTTTATCATCGCAATTTGTACTGTAACAATTAAAAATATTCCGACAACTGCAATTTCTCTGGCGTATTTATTTTTCCAGAGACGACCGCACGGTAGGAAAACACGGCAGAAAACTCGGTGTAAAAAATGCAAAGATTAATTACAGAACGACGTAGCGTAACTGTTAATTAAGCGTCGAGGTAATCCTTTCCACTTTACGGCACCTTAAAAATTAATCTTCCGTCGATTTGTCGGTTTAATCTCCGAGATTAATACCTCACGCCGTTGCCAGGCCCTCGAACAACTTGACCCTGCAATTCTATGATCGTGAGGAAGCGGGAGGGTGACTACTGCGAGAGGGCTGCAGGGCGGGGCATCCCTTATCAGCAATGAACACTCGCGCAGCCTCCGTCTCCTCGTTTCAATAGCGTACTACTCGAAATTTCAGCGACACTTTCACTTGTTGTGAATGCCACCCTTGGATAACCATCTTAGAATATTATCTTCTTGTTACACCAACTAAATATATTAGATTGTTATGAAAAAATATTATTTTTAACGATTATGCAAATATTATGATAACGATAATGTTACAAGATATGAGATGAAATTCAAAAGTGAGTAAGTTAAGTTGTAAGTTAAGTTAAGTTAAAGCAGTTATATAAATTAATTTTACTAAAAATAATAAAAGAAATAGAGATATCATTTTTTTTAAATCTCTTTAACGTTCCATTGTTTAATAGTATTGCTATTACTAATTCAAGAATTATTAACTCTAAGTTTTTAAATTGTTATTTATAAAGTCTCTCCCTAAATACATTAATGTATATATTTTTATTAAAATTTTTATATAAATTGTTTTTATAATTTTTTATAATTATATAAAATTTTATATGTTTCATAATTGTACAAAATCTTATGTTCCAGGCAAAATAGAAACTTAAAAATTGTCATTAAACTAATAAGACATTTTTTTTCATGAATTAACAATTCTTATAAATTATTAATATTATTATTATTGTTATTACTATTATTATTATTGTTATTCTTATTATTATTCTTAATAATTAAGAAATTATTATTATTCTATCTCTTATATTCTATTATTAGAATTATTAGAATTATTAGAATTCTAGTATTAGAATATTTGTAAATTAAATTTGAATCAAGATTTAAATTTAAATTTGATTTCTGAACATAATCATTCGATAAATTGTTTGTTTATTCACATTTATAGACATTGCAGTTCAACAATTAATTTTATTGTCGTACAACCATATTTCTCAACTTAATTATATCGTCTAATAATCTTAACTGTTACTGATCATGATCAAAATCGTCATCATCCGCAGATCAGATATCACGATCTTTTCGCGATATTTTCGTGACTTTATTGATATTCAAGATTTCCATCTGATGAACAATTACTTTTACATTTTGCCACAATTTTGTAACGATACGATATCTCCGATGTAGCCTTTGCTTGGCAGAATGCGAGAGTGCAATTGATTTTCCGTTGACAGAGAGTTAAATCACTTCTTGAATGAGTTAAACCAGTGTTTTATCGGGTGCACGTGCGGGTATTAGAAATTTCGACGGGGTGTGTCGCCAGGGGAGAGAGGCGTGTCGCCGGTTTTGCGCAGCGTCCCATGAACGTCAACGCGCTCGAATAGAGCATCCCCCCCCCCTCCGTGCCGTAGGGCGGTCGAGGGAGACGCGAAGGGTGAAATCAATTTTCGTTATCGCCGTCAACCAGCCGCCCCACGCTAATCCCATTATTAGTGTTTGTTTTCCACGTGTGGCACTCGCGCCTGCCGACATATCGATCATCGAAACGCGCGCGCGTGTGTAAGATATTTAATACGAACTCCCTGCATTGAGAGTTAAGCAATGTCGTTGCGAATTTGCAATCGTGAATCGAGACGAAGTTAAGAAAATAAGAAGAAAATTATTTTAGGATGCAACAAAAAAAGACACGATGGATATTATGGCGCAATTTTCATCGCGTAATATCTTGAAAAGGAGATATTTTAAAATTAATCATGTAAACATATTTACACAAATTACAAATATATTCATTGTTGAAAAGTAATTTTAACATCGTACATATATATACCGTGTGTATAAATATGTTAATGTAATTACTATTCTTTATTAGTAATATAACTTTATATTACTAATTTATTATTAGGATACTTATAAATTGGAATCAAGATTTAGCTAAGTTTGATGTCCGAATGCAATTGTTTGGTAAATTGTTTTATTTACATATAGACATTGCAGTTCAACCATTAATTTTATTATCGTACAAGCATATATTTCTCAACGTAATCATATTATCTAGTAGCCTTAACGATTAGTTACATAAATCAAAATTGTAACATATCGGATATGGTACTTCACTCAATATATCACGATCTTATTCACGCAAAGTATACAATAAGTAATCTAGAGTATTTGCAACAGCCAGTAATCTCGGTAGCAGTCTTATAACACATCGATCAGAATAATCAGGTTTAATAAAGATATAATTTTTAAACCCACACTTCACGATTGGATAAAATTTTGTCTTCTAATGTTAACATCGGAGATTAACTGCAATCTGCTAATCTGCAGTTTTACATATATATAATTCGGCAATTCGTCAATCGAATCAATTTTGAATCAATTAAATCGCAGAACCACCGAATTTTGATCACAGCTTTTTTCAGCAGATTAAAAATGATATTGTATAATTGGCTATATTTATAAAATTCAATCATTTCATGACTATGCAAAATACTATAAAGTTTCTCAAATGAATATAATTAAATATAATGTAATTCGAATCGTATCCAAACTTCCTGGTCAAATTATTAAATAGGTTGTTCGATTTAGGTAATTCTATAAATTTCAAAATGTATAGAATTAATCATGTCTTGACAACATTAATAAATTCTGTTATATAGAAGGAAAAAAATCGATTTATATCAGGCCAAATTTTGTAAGATCTTTAATATTGAATTTATACTAAACTTTTAATTTTACTTAAATTTTACTCAAATTGGCTTGATTTAGATAAATTCTAATTAAATGTTGAATAATTGATCATAGAACCGGATTCTACTGGAAGATATTGGATACTTTAAAAAATTATAGTGTAAATACTATAAATATATATATATTATAATAAAAATATTAAACGGAAATATGTATGATTGTTACATAAAAAACACGATCACAGCAGATTCATGAAAATTTCGTAGATATACTATGTCGAGCCAAATTTTATAAATAGAAAATTAATTAATAAATTAAGGAACACTTGCATGTTATTTATATAAATTAAAGTAGAATTTAAATCATATATTCATATATTCATATGTAAATAAGATTTTGAAAGATGATACTAAATATTAATAATTTTTGTAATAACATATTTTTAAACATATTCTTATATTAAAACTTTTAAAAATTTTAAAAATAAGAAATAAAAATAAAATAAAAATTAGATTGCGTTTCTTGCATAAATTTGTTTCGTTTGTTCTCAAAATCCATTTTTATTGTTAACTATACATTTTAATATTTTACTTCTATATTTATTCTTTAATATTTTTCTTTAAATTATCTTTATCACAACGAGTAAAGAAAGTATTTGTTTATTTGAATTTTAATTCAATTCATAATAAAGAGTACCGAATTATAATTATAATAATTCTTATTATAATAATTCTTTCGTTCTCAAATGGCTTTGGTACATTCTCATTATTATTAATCACGTCACTGTGTGCTATGTACATAAATACTGTTAATAACGCTATTTTTTAATGAAAAGCAAAAAGAAGAATAAGTAAAGGCACCATGATGACACAAATAGTGTAAACCATTGTTCTTGGTTCGCATACAGACACACCAATATATTCCTCATTCCATTGCGAATCATTTCCACTTAATGGCAATTCTAATACCGTTTTTTCGTTACTGAATATTTTAAACGGTAAGGAACACTCCTCCGTGCTATTTTTACATGCATGCACAGGATTTGATGTATTGTAGACAGTTTTCAAAAGATCAAATTTCACCCTCACGTAATTAGGCTGAACTTCATTTTCCGAATTAAAGACAAAGAAGTAATACCCGTTTAGAGGTACTCTACAATAAATTAACGTAAAACAAATTATAAAAGTATATCTTTATATGTGTCAACGTGAAATAATTATGTTTACATATAAATAAATTTATTTATTTAAATTATTAAATAAAAATCCGCAAAATATCTTAACTTAAAGCAAGCTTATCATTCAAGAATAAAACAGTAAAGAAACTTGAAGTAACAAATTAAACAAATCTTTTTTGTCTCGATAAAGAGAAAAATGATACAAGCGATACCTTGCAATACGAGCAATAACTTTACCTGTATGTCACCATATTGGCGAAAGAGGCTGTAGAATGATGACTTTCGTGTTTGGGTGTACAATAACGATGTGGTGTCAAAGGTAAATTCAGGATAAGACCTTTGCATTCCAACAGCCGTTCTTCAGAACTGCTAAACGAACTCCAAAACTCAGAATTACTTCTATCGTTCAAAGTTGTTTCGTTTACCGTACCTCGATCCTCTGCGATACCATCTGGATGCAACAAATCCTGAGAAAAATCACAAATTTATTTTAATATTCTCTTTACATTCCATCGTTTAACATGGTAATTTTGCCAAGTATATCTTTTAAGCTTTTATATTCTAAATTAACTTATCTATATTATCTATTCTTTAGCTATAAAATATAAGTTTTAAAATATATTTAATCAAGTTTATGAAGTGGAAAACAAATTTCTTTAAATACTAAACAAGAAATATAATAGTACTTTGCAAACAAACACTTTGCTCCACAATATTTATAGAGATATAGTTATGGATAAAATTGATTAACAAATGTTATGCAATATTTATTCATCTATTTAAGAAAACATTGCAATATAAAAAATAGAAAATAATAATACGTTATTATATGCATTTTTAGATACACTATACGTTAGTTTTATAAAGAAAATATATTTATCATGAAAATATATTAATTGTAATTTTTTATAAAGGAATACACACAAAATTACGGGTGTACTCAAAATATATTTCTTATTATATTATCTGTTCCTTTTGACAATAAATTAAGTAAATCAAATTGTAACAGATTATCTAATATCATTAAAAACCTCTAATAAGTTTGCACTTGTTACCTATTATTAGCTTAGAAAAGTTAGCAAATTGTCATTTCACTTCGTCTTATCTCCCTTTCCCTGTATTATCAATAACAAAGATAATATTACTTCGCTTATCAATATTCTTGCGTAAGAATTTTTTTAATTTTAGAATTAATTGAATTTCCCAACAGATAAATTATTTTTAACAATAAACAATTAATAGAAATACTTACTTAATACAAGTTAATAAATTAAATTCTAATTGTAAAAACAAATTCATTACATTTTACATTGATAAAACATAGGAAGGAAGATCGAAATAAAACTTTTACCTCTTCTACCGCTGCATCACCGTCTTCGTCATTCTCTGTTAATTCCTGATAAAGCGGCGACGAAAGAACCAGGTCTCGTCTTCTTCTCTGTTTAGCTTCGTTCGACAATTTTTTGTCATTCATTGTATTATTAATTAATTGTTTCAATGCAGCACCTTTAGCATCGGCTTGCGTATCAATTGTATCCATCAATTTGTGTAATATCTGTTTACCACGATCACCTAAGGAGTTAATTTTTCGCAAAACATCTTGAAACACCTCTTCTGAGTTTGTCCGTTTAGTTTTCAGCTCTTCTTGCTCTTTTACGATTTCCCGTCTCGTGCTGGATTCCATTTGCTTACTGGATATCCGGATAGAATGCGGACGTAGACTAGAAGGAAATGTATAATTCTGTGAAGTTTCAGATTCTTCCTGATCGTATCGCGGTTCTTGAAAAGAAATTGGTACTTTCGATAATAATGGTGTAAACCTAAAACATTTAAATTAACAACACATTATTTGTATAAAAGAAATAAATTACAAAAAAGAAATAAATTAAAAAGTAAATGATACTTGTTTAAATCGCAATAATCAAATTTAATTAATAATACGTTTATTATTAATTTTTAATATTTCTTAATAAAAAGGAAGAGCAGAATATTTGTGAAAAGAATATATTTATTAATTAATAAAGAAAATAACATACTTTTTATCATTTTCTGTCTCTTTATTATTATCAAATTTGCTTATTAATTTTTCCTGATCTTGTAAATTTCTAGGATAATTTGTGGTCGCTGGCTTATCGATATTAGTGACATCCCTGAAGACGGCTTCGTAATGGTGATGCGGATTCTTTTTCTGCTTCTTTTTTGCGTAATTGGTCTTAACCAAGAGTTGTGTAAGTATATTCCGCATTGTTTCAGGGTCCAACTCATGACTGCCCGGTTGTCCAGACGATTTAGAAACGTTCAAGCGAAGAGCACTGTCATAGAAATGCACGTCTTGATCTGCTCGTCTCATTTTATCAGGTACATTACTAAGACGCGCCGCCTATACGTAATCGAAAAATGTAACGTAAAAAAGTGTATTTCACACATTTTCAAAACTAAAAAAAAAAAAAAATCTATTTTTAACAGAGAAGGTAATGTACCTCCGTAGTGCCCTTTACATCGAGAAGTCCTTGTTCCTTGGCGACCTCAACGAGTTCCTCGAGTTCCTCGCTACTGTCATCTCCGATAAAGGCGCACTCGTGTAGATTTTTGAAGCCACGGATTATCGTTAAAGAAGCACCCGGCCATCTGAAAATAATAGAATATTTGTAGCATAATGATAATATAACATAAATAATTGAAGTAGAGTATTATTTCGAATATATTAAAATAAACTTTAGTTAAGAAATGGGAGAGTTCTGAGTGTAGATGATATTTATTGCATGGAGATGAGAAGAGCTTTCACCATTTTTCGAAAGAAAAAAATCCTTTTGAAATTCGCGAAATGATAACGAGCCCCCATTTCTACCTTAATTCTACCTTACACAAGCTGAAACGGTGACGCTACTGCCGCGCAAAAGATAAAATCCCCAATACTCCTTCATGTCATCTGTCATAACGAGGTGTCTCGTCATCGATACAGGCACTGTATCCTTTTCAACTATTGGTTCGTTACTCATCAGGTACGCATTGAATGTGGCGTTAACTTTAACTACTTGGCTCTAGAGACAACAATTAATTTACGTCAGTTTTCTTAATTCTAACTTTAAAAAAAAAAAAAGAAGAAGAAAAAGGAAAAGAAGCAAATACAATTTTTTTTAAATTATTTGTAATATAAAAGAATATGTTATTTAATATAAATAAATTGAATATAATATAAATGTAATATAATATAAATTAAGAATATAATATAAATATAAATATAAATATAATACAAAATATCAGAATATATTATTTGTTATATAAAAGAATTTATTTAGCCGCTAAATATTGCGCATACATTGCGAATATAATTTTGAAAAGATATAAAAATAAAATAAAAATAATAAAAATAATAAAAAATAATAAAAATAATAAAAAATAATAAAAAAAAATTATATTAATTCATATATCCAATCTCAAACAAGAATTTATTAATATTATCATTATCATTATTAACAATTATATTATTTAATATGTAGATAACACGATATATGAAGTAAGGCAAAATCACATGTAAATTACATCTTTTCAGATTCAATTCAAGATTTATATAAAATTATTTAAAAATAGTAAAGTGAGAGAGAAAGAAACTGTCATATAAAATGCTGTTAAAATAAAATGCCTTACTTGGCACCAAAGGGTAGAAATTCTGCCATCGATTAGTATCTGATCGGATATTGTTAAAGCATACAGCTGCTCAGAATACACGCGGTATCTCAAATACAGTGGCCACGCAATAAATACGGACGGCAGAAGTATTCCCAGCAAACATAATCGCATCAATCTCAAAGGTACTTTATAACTTGATTTTCGCGGTTGCCAATCTCGTGGGCGAATACCATCCTCTGCAAAAAATGTCGCCGACATAAAATGTCAGAAATAGTTAGAATATCAATATCTGGGACAAGATTATCCCATTATCAAACGTCTTCGATTAATTTTTTTCTCCTTTCATAATAATAATGTTAGCAATTTATTCGATAACATAAAAAAATACAATTGATTGTTTTTGTTTCTGTTTACGGTTATATTTAAATAATATATCCAAATTCATTATCGTTTATTCTAACGAGACCTATTTGAGAAGTATTACTTAGATATGTATTACATTAAAATATTAAAGTATTTTAAATTATAAACGCAATCTTCTCAAAACTATTTTCTTTCTTACTTAAAAGTATATTTATGTAAAAATCTTATATAAAAACTAAATGTGAAAAATAGATGTTTTATTAAAATGAGAACTACAAAGATATATCAGAATATATATAACTTTGTATATTTGTATGGAATTTTCCTTACATTAAACTAACAATCATTAACACTTAAGACTAATAACTTAAAAATAGATTTAAATAGATTTAAGTGTATCGATTGGTATATAAAAGATATAGTTCTTTATCATTTATTATCTTCAATGACAATCCACAAGACACTTGTCTGTACATACACACATACGTTTGCGAGCAAAAAACAATGGAAAATTCCTTGAATCTTTCGCTAAAGCGTAATGCCAAAGAGTGCGAGCTTTGCTTCATAGCATTCCTATCTTGCTTCGACATATGGATTTTTAGATTAAAAAAAAAAACATCTTATCTCTGCATTAATAGCGTATAATAAAACTCTCTGCATCTTACTGTGTTCGATAATACCGTAAATCTTCTTCTTCTGTATCTTATTAAAGCAAAGATTCTTGAATTTCTACGCTTTAAAGACGAATTTGCAACGCATTTTTACAAAGTCGTAATTATATCTGATAAGATAAACTTTCCTTATATTTCTTGAAATATAAAGATAATAATCTATATGTATCTATAATTGAACAATTTGCTAATTAGTTAAAAAGCGTCGTCGCTATCCATTCCCGAAGCGTCGCACATGTTGCGCAATTTTAATACAACCTCTCGTAACTTTTGATAAAAAAAATATGATAATAAAGTTTGAGAATCGTCTTTAACATTTAAAAGGAAACACTGTAAGCGAGAATAACGCAGATTTACACGCAGTATAATCGTGGGAGAAATACGGATGCAAATCTCGCGATGTCGTATTTGATGATCAAGAGGTCATCAGTCTCACCTTTATGCCTCAACGAAACGATGACCCCGATCTACAGAATAATGCTCTTCACGATAACTTATCACATATCGCATTGATAATTCTTTTTTTTTTTTATGAAGTAGTATGTCGTTAGATAGGGAGATCATTATTTACCCAGACGACTTGTGCAAACAAAGCGTCATAAGAATTAAAACACAGTTTATGCTAGAACAGTTTCTCTCATTATCGAGAAATAATACGATTAATGGTAGTTATTTCACGTTTAATTCAGATGAAAAAGACATAAAGAGAGAATATGTTTATACATTTTGACTAATTGACGGTCCAAGCGACCGTACTTTTATCATCGAAATTTTGTATGGTAAACGGAGTGTAATTTAAATGGTAATTGATATTTAAATTTCCATTCGTTGTCGACGAATTTATTTGTGGTGAATGTATATTTGTAACGTAGCGTAATATAAAGAAATTTCTGGATGTAAATATAATTTCTAGATATATCCAGATAATTTTGCGTCGCAGCTTCGCCTTGAAATAAATTTATAGGAAGAAATATAGCTTGACTGTTGGCTTATATTGTGTTGTGCGCTTTATGTTTTTATGGAAAGAAAGAGTCATCCGTGAAAATATACACGTGCCACTGAAATTGCAGCGGCCAAAGAGAAGAGCCAAGTCGGGGAAATTTAAAAATAAAAATCAATCTGTCTCACGAAGGCGGCTTCTGTGCTGTTACGATCAAATGAACTACATTAAAGAAGAATGCGCGATTACAGTGAATGAATGAATGAAGTGCCGCCTTTTTGAAGGCAACTTTTTCTCTCATTGCTATACAGCTGCGGCTGATTATTGAACGCAACGTTTGCACTGCAAAAATTCACATATCTATCATTGAAAAATGCCGACACGAGATACCCGCAAATTTTTATCCCTTTATTTTACAATGAACAATTGAAAATGTTTCCCATTTAATTCTACCTACCTTTTAATTCGATAGAGAGAATGTAAAATTTCGTTTACGACTAAACAAAGAGAGGAACACAGTATTTCTGCGAAACCCCTCTAGAAAAGGAGCAAACGTCATAACGTAACGTCTTGCAAAATGCAAATATAAAAAAAAATGTTATCGTCGTTCAGGATACATCGGAAAAATCAATAAAACGACGCGTTGCGCATTTTATACGCGGTGACAACTCTGTTTCTGTACATTGTTTCCACGATGCACTATCGTTCGGTCGCAGCGATAACAAATGGAAAAACAACGAATCATCAGCGGAAATCTCTAACGAGAGATGTAGATACCTATTCTTAAAGGCGTCGTTGACATTTTCTTCAAAAGATCGCGGCATAGGCGTGTGACTCGCTCAGGATTCAGGATACGGAAATACAGGAAAATGTGCGGTCACGTTTCCCTCCCAGACAGACGGATGCATCCAAATGGATCCTCTCTAAAAGGCGCATTCACTGCGAAGATACATACTTTTTGCAGTCGATCATGTTATATGATATTAAATCACTTGTAAGCGACAATTTTAATTTGCCAATTCCGCTCTCGCCTCTCCTGTGATGTCACATCTGTCAAGTTTAACGCACCGAATTTAACACACGTAAGAAATTTCAATTCTGCTAAAACTGTTTTCTCGACTTCTCGTATTAATCTACACTCGAGCCAATTATCAAAATTATCAATTTTTCTTGATGAGAAAAAAACTTTAAGAATGTTGCTCCTTATAAGAATTATTTATCTAAAAGTTTTTTTATTTTCGCCGCAGTGAGATGCGCTAATTGCATTCAACCTAAGTATAACGAAATCATACGAAAGAAAAAACGCGCGATGCGCATCGGTCGCCTCCGACAGATCGACTGAATCTGTGAATGAACAGATTCGACGCTTTGTATCAAGCGTCTTATCGCGCTTTAATACACGCGAATCAAACAAGCTCCGATTGACAGTCTATTTGCACAGCACTCGCATGTAATACCTTTGTAAATTGTTGCGTATGAGACATGATGACATGGAGTTGCTGAAGCAATCTATTCGCTTTTCGAAATAAATTCCGAAATCTTAAACAACGATCTTCTTTCTCTCTTCCCTCTCTTTCTCTTCCTTCTTTTTCTCTCTTCTTTCACACGTACATTCAACAAACATGTTATTGACAATGAACGAACAAGTCAGCAATTTCGAACCGAACGTACAAAATACAGCGCGTAAGATAAAATTAGCACTCGGACGACAAAATTATTTCATTGATATCAATTTATCAAATGAGAACAAAAATCCAATGTTTTAAATTATTAACATTGCAAAAGCTGTGTATATCTTCCTAACTAACTGATATATTCTTAATCCAAGACCGATAAACATTTTTTAAAAAAAGTATATTTTATTAGCATAATTTGTTTATAATTTGTTTTTAATTTCTATATACACTTATTCTTCCATTGTTTAAATAATTAAAAATGATTAATTATGATACATAATAGAAATTATAAATCACTCTTATATCGAGAATAATTTCTACTATCCTTGTCATTTTTGGATTTGTAAGATTTCTCTCCCCTTCGTCGTTTGTTCAAAGGATTTCGAGGATCGTAAATCTCGAACCAATCGTCGTCCTTCGTACTGGCATCTTTGGCAAGTACCGGTGCTTTTTCCTCACAATGCAAAGCATGTGTTAACCAAGATTCATCATGCGGATCATCATCTTCAGTATCTTTCGATGTTTTCTTATCAGAATTCAAAGTATCCTTCGTGTGCTCCTTGGCATTATGAAGTTTATTTTTAAATTTGTTCAACAATTCCATTGTAAAATCTTCGCGTATTTTACCCGTCTTTGGTAATTTTGCTTTCTCCTTTTTGTATTTTTCTTGTGTTTCCATATATTCTTTCATTATTTCAGATTTACTCTCTTCCTTTTCAGTTTGTTGTTTTCGATCTATTTCTTTCGCTTTTTTCTCGTTTTGTACGCTGCGCTTTAGATTTCGTATTTCTTTCCTTATTGCTTCGCTATAAATTAAATTTCAAATAATATGAGATATTTATAATTTTTTAAACAGATATCAAATCTACTTTATAGATTATTTTAAAATCTATATAAGTAATGTAAACATACGCTTTTTTCTTCCGCTCTTCTTCTCGGTCTTTTCCCAAATAATATGTGTCACTTTCCTCATCTTCGTTTATATTTTCATCTTTTGTTATATCATCCTTAATTTCAGGCTTCGATTGGGAAATCTTTTTAGAATCCTTCAATTTATTCTTGATTCTCTCTTTCATAGCTCTATTATAATACATAATATATAATACATATTATAACTATTTTGTTAAATGTAATATTTTTATTGTTATATATTTTATTTTCTACACTTACTCTTTCTCTTTTTTTAAAGCAGCCAATTCTTCCGGAGTACGTGTTTCATCATCACTCTCCCAATCGCTACTCCGATCTTCTTTAATTTTTTTATTTAGTGGTTCAGCTGGTTCAATTACGGATTGTGAGCTTAACTTTGGATCAGATAAACAATCATGTGCTGATTTTCCTTTGCCACTATATTGTTTATTTAAAACCGATGACTCCTCTTCATCTTCTTCAGCTTCCTCTCCAAATGATAATAATTTAAAATTCCTAAAAAAATTGAGTATGTAAAAAAAAGAGACATTATTATTTAAAGGTAGTAACTATAATTCTTATTATATAACTATTTTCTTACTTTACACCAGTTTTCTTATCCTTTTTTCTTTCTTTATTGTCTTCTTTCTTTTCAGATACTCTTGGAACAATATCTGAGAATGGATTATTTAAAACTTCCGTTTTTAATATTTTCTGTGGATACTGAGGTCTATCATTCTAAAATTTATTATATTTTTAAATATAATTGTACATTAAATTGTTAATACTAGAATAAGATATATATATATATATATGTATATGAAAATATTTACTTCATCTACAAGTGCATCTTCTAACTTGAGCATATTATAAACTGTTTCACCAGTAACTTTACCAAAGATAGTGTGTTTATTTTGTAACTCAGGTGTTGCACCAAGTGTGAAGAAAAATTGCGAACCGTTGTCATCTTTGCCAGCATTAGCCATAGCAAGCAATCCTCTTCGACAAAAACGTAACCTTGTGTGAAACTCATCCTGCGAGTAGGTAATATATGATAATTGTTAAATTGAGCAAAATATTGAGCAAAGTAAAAAACTAAAATTATCTATAACCATACCTTAAAAGGATGTCCGTATATGCTTTCACCACCTTCTCCTGTTCCTGTTGGATCTCCACCTTGCGCTATGAAGCCTTTTACAATTCTGTGAAATATTGTGCCATTATAATAACCCTCCATGCAAAGCTGTATAAAATTTCTGCAAGCCTTGGGAGCCTCTTTTGTCCATAATTCTAGATCTATGTCACCAACTGTTGTTTTCATTATCACCTATTTGACAATATATGAAAATAAATTAAAAATAAAATAAAAGTTATTTATTTAAAAGTGACGTTGCTTTATATTCAATTATTATAATAATAGTAATACTAATAATACAAAATTACTAAGAAAATTACATTGTAATCTTACATTGATTGATTTATCATTTTGTTAAAAAAGCTTTATAGATTACTTTATGATTTCTATTTACATTTTTTTATATACAAAACAGTTTAAACTTACTTTCCCCGTTGTAGGCGGTTCTTGGATATAAATATTACTCATATTTATAACCTCTTATTGTAATCGATCACAAAGATGGAGATGAAATGTGCAGGGAACGTAAATACTCGATATAACGTAGTTATTCAACCTTTCAGTAGATGGCGAATGTCTCCAATCAGCTGTTTCTGACAGTATTTTAAAATGCCAAATATAATATTAAATTACTAGATAATAATTAATAAATACAACTAATATATAATTACAACTAATATATTGTCAATACCAAATAATAATATAATTTATTTATAATTTATATATGTTTATTAAAAACATTAACTAAAATACATGCCTACCTATATTTTTTTTTACACTTTAGGAACAATGTATAATCAAATAATAATTAAGTAATTTTAATTTATTATTATTTAAAAAAATATATATGTTTCAATTTTAACACGAAGGTCGCCATGCTATGTGCTCTGCTTTACATGTGTAATCGAAAGCCTGTTATTGATAAAACGTGTAACGTATCCAAGAAACTTGGTTCTGTAAATTCGTTCTTATATGTAGAAAAGCTGCTCAATAATAATTTGTAACTGTGTTTTAAATATATTTACTAATAATCTGTAATACTGTATTTTTACAAACTATTTAAATGTTTATGCGTAACAATATATTTAATAATATTCTATAAAAGCAGTGTGAAATAGTGAATTAAAAGCAAGTGGAACAGCAAACCTAACAGTATACCTAACATGTTAGGTACAGGAAACGTTTGTGTTTGTGAATATGGATTGGAAATACTTTGAAATCAACTTTTCAACAATGTCTCAATATCCAAATTCTAATCAGTCGAAACAAATCAAATTAAAGGACTATATAAGTGACATCTACGTTCCAGAATTTTCTGCAGAATGGAAAAAAAATATATTGGATTTGATACCCTTTACAGACAGGCGAAAATATTCTTGTTTCATAAACTCAGTAATGGATGAGGTAAAAGAAATGTACGTTGAAAATATGAGAGATTTTATATTGAAATCCGTACTGTCCTATAAAATATACAAGAGGGAACACGTTACGTGCGAAGAGTGCCACATTTTCACTGATGCGACACGCAATATTGTTGAGGCAAATAAAATGCATGCTCGTGAAATGTTTTTGAAGCACCGTGATTTGTTTACCAAAAGATACTTTCTCTCTCATCCGATAATCAGACATGTTATGAATACGGCATATCGTATTCTGCCCGCGGTAATTTGCGACTTCAGACGTTACCATAAACTCGGAATGTTAACACTGACGTGTTTTCAAAACTTGATTCTCAAAGATATTAAAAGGGGCTCTTCGGTGATCACTAATCAATTTTATACCGAGACGTTTAAGGCCATACAGAGATCGAAGTTATTAAAAAATATCCCGACGAGACGTCTATCTCAATTTATGCGATGCCTTACAAACATATTCATCCAGCAGATTCTTAACGTAATGATGAGATCCATCGATCACGTGATAGACACCATGAAGGATGGCTGTTTCTGCCCTCAGATCGAACTTAAGCTGATATGCGAGAGTGATCGGCTCGTAACTAAGCCAGACGTGGAGGAAGTATTTTCAACGTATCACGATATTGTCAAAAATATTGAAGGTATCGCGCAAGATCTTATGCCATTGGAGGGGTGGTTAAACGTCAGAGCGAGAGACAGGTATATAAAAGTAGCGCTTCCTGACTGGTTCGTCGAGAAGTCTCACCGTAACTTGCAGGAGATATTGGACGCTCTGTTTCAACCTGTGAACGAGCACGTGGCTCTCGTCTCCGTGGAATTTAGCGGGATAAAACACGTGACAATTGTCGAGAACCGAGTATTATCCTTGACCTCCAAACGGCCAGATTTCGACGCTTACTTCGAGCAGATACGCAGGTACGACGAGTACCTCGACAAAACGAACTCTATGCTCTCGAATTTGTACTACAACGTGGGAAGATTGGAGCAAGGCGGCGCCAAGGAATCCCTACGGCAGATCTGCTGCGATATTAAAAACGTCCTAACAGGGGAACTTGTCAGGTATCACCGGGACTTCAATCGTACGATCTGTTCAGACTTCGAGGACTTGAGGTCTATGGCTCTGAACATCCCGAGAGATGCGGAATCCTTGATACAGCTGAGCGAACGTATGTCGCGAGCCTCGAAGGTATTCGTGAAGGAACAGGAACGAAAGATACGAGAGTCAATTTGTATGCTGAGCAAACTGTTGGAGATCACCACATTGACTGACGAGCATATCGATTTGAACAGGAGGACCATCAATTGGTTGCGCGATGTTCAGCCGATATTTGCGCAAAATAATACGTTATGCGAAGCTATGAAGAGCGAGCTGGAGGAAGACCTTCAACGGAGAATAAACGCACTGAACTCGGAGGTCGACGCGATGTTCCCGCAGCTTGTTATCTTAGACGACATGGACAACGTGAACGAGGTCGGGGAATACGTGGAGCATTACAAGGATCTGATTAGGAAGTACAAACGTATCGATGACGAGATGCTGGTTATTAATTCAGAGGAGAGACTTTTCAAGTTCCCCGAAACGGAGTTTCCAAAAATAGTCGAGCTGAAGGAAACGATCGTACCGTTCTACAAGCTTATATGTATTATTCACCAATGGCGAAGGGACAACTCCGTGTGGCTGAATGGTCCATTCGAATGCCTGGACGCTTCCGTTATCGAAAGGAAGACCGTGAGGTACTTCGATGAAATAACAGAGATAAATAAAACGATGAAGTCGCGCATCAAGATGGACATGACGGCAAACAGGTCGTACAAATTTTCCGGCATCGCCGACGATCCCGATCCAATGCAGCAACCCGCGCCATTAAAAATTGTGTTGGCAAGCGCTTAACAACATTAACGAGTTTAAAATTTACGTGCCGCTAGCGGTTTGCATGTGCAATCCGGCTCTGAAAGCGCGCCATTGGGAAGAAATGTCGGCGATATGCAATTTTGATCTTACGCCAAATGCAGGAACGACTCTGAGGAAGATGATCGACATGAACCTGATGGATAACATCGACAAGTATAGGGCTATAAGTTTGGGCGCTAACAAAGAACTTCATCTTCAGCAGGAATTGGCTGAGATGAATAAAGAATGGGAACCGATATCATTCGAGATGTCGACCGACGCAGAATCCGGTGTGATATTTTTTAAACACATAAGCGAGATCGAAACTCTTCTTAGCGAACACCTCATCAAAATCGAGGAAATGAGAGCGTCGCATTTTGTAAAGCCAATATTGTCAGACTTGATGAACTTTTCCGCTGTTCTCGCAAGAATCCAAGAAACTCTTGATCAGTGGACGCGAATACAATTCCGCAAACTCTCTCTGGAGTCAATATTTTCTTACCCAAAAATAGAAACGCGTTTAAACCAAGAAACTTCATTATATTTAGAAGCGACAAATAATTTGTTAGAGATTAATAAGAGATTTACGGAAAATGCAAGCTTTCATGAAATTAAAAAGTCATCGGATCATTTGCTGCAGATCTTAAATGAAGCTAATGAGAAATTGGAGATAGCGAGCAGAGGTGTGAAAGATTATTTGGATATTAAAAGACTGTCTTTCACAAGATTCTTCTTTCTCGAGGATTCAGAGGTACAGAAAATACTATTCGAGTCGATTATTAATATAGAGAAACGGTATGTGCCTGTGAAGAAATGTTTTGCTGGTGTTAAACAATTAAAATTTAATAAATCTAATTGCGTTTGGGGTATAATTGGACTTTACGGGGAAATCCTATATCTAAATAATAATATTCTCTTATCTACCGATACTAAATGTGAAGAGCAATGGTTAATTCAACTTGAGAAAGAGATGAGAGATGCAGTTCGCGAAAATATTCTGCAACATCATTCTTCGATCGATGAAAATTCGATATTTGTTCCCGCTGATAATCTTCCGGGCATGGTGAATATTTGTGGTTTGCAACTTTATTGGACTTTATCGGTAGAGAGATGTCTCGCGCCATTAAATATTCCAATGTTAAATTCTTTATTCACGACATATAAAGACGGGATAATTTCGATAAGTAACGAATTAAGAAGTAATTTAATACGAAAACGTAGAAACCTGTTGACGTCGTTGATCATTGTCATGTTGGCACATAAAGAAATCATAAAATTGTTACTGGAAAGGAATATCGTTGAACGAACAGATTTCGAGTGGTCCGCACAATTGAGATATTATTGTAATGACAAAGCCGTCGAAGTGTCGGTATTCAATACAACAATTAAATATGAATACGAATATAATTGTGCTCATCAGAATATTGTTAGTACTCCCTTAACCGACAGGTGCTTTCGTACTATTTTGCAAGCTTATCATTACCATTTGTACAGCAGCGTCATAGGTCCAACCGGTACCGGAAAGACGGAAACGATCAAAAGTCTGACAAGAGCTCTCGCAAAGCCATTCTACATAATCAATTGCAATAATAGTACTTCTTACGATTGCGCGATACGGATATTTAAAGGAGTGATCTCGAGCGGAACGTGGGCCTGTTTTGAAAACTTCGATAAATTAAGGTTAGAATTGCTATCAGCCATTGCTCAGAACCTTACACAAATGAGGCAAGCGGTGTCGTCTAATTTGAGGACCGTAAGTTTCGAGGGTTGCAATTTAAATTTGAATGTCTCCGGAAATATATGCGTTAGCATCAACTCGGGGCAATTTGGCTATTCTAATCTGCCAGATAATTTGAAGGTTCTCTTTCGCCCCGTGTCAATGATGGCGCCTGAGGTTCGCAGAATTGCCGAAATTGAGCTGTTCGCCGGAGGCTTTCTCCACGCGAAAAATCTGGCGGTGAAGCTAGCTGCCGGTTATAAATTATTGTCCGAGCATTTGGGACGGAAGAGCCATTACGATTTTAGTACATCGTCACCGAAGACCGTTGTCGCAACTGCAATTAGTATGAAGCGAAATATCCCGGACGAGAATGAGTACAATTTACTGCTGCGTTCAATGGTACGCGTAAACATCCCGCAACTGTGCGACACGGATATACCGATCTTTCAGAATATCATGCAAGATATCTTTCCCGAGTCCGTCGTGCTCCCTTTCGATTGTTCGGCAATTCTAAACGCTCTGGAAATCATATGTGCAAAGCGATACTTAACGTTGCACACAATCTTCAAATTAAAGGCTTTACAGATTGTTGAGCTGATGCACGTCCGTCGCGGCCTCGTGCTCATTAGCGATTCCTTCGGAGGAAAGACGCAACTTTTACACACCCTTGCCGAAACGCTGTCGTTGTTACACGATAAAAAAATAAAATTGGAGCTACGGTGAAGCTAGAAACGATTACGCCAGGTGTAGCGGATACCGACGCGCTCTTTGGACATTTCTGCGATCAGTCTGGAGTCTGGAAGGACGGCTTGTGCACCACTATACTTCGTCGCTTCGCGGAAGACATCTCGACAGATCGCAAGTGGTTAGTATTCGACGGGGACTTAAATGGCACATGGGTAGAAAATTTGTATACAATCCTCGACGAGAATAAAATGCTGCACCTGACGTCTGGGGAACGGCTTCCCACGACAAACTCGATGTCCGTCATTTTCGAAACGACGAGCATGACAGACATTTCACCTGGCGTGATATCGCGATGCGGAATAATCTATATCGATGCGCATTCCATTGGCTGGAGACCACACGTTCTATCTCACATCGCTAAGCCATTTTATGATGGATACAACAAAATACTGCACGCTCTGCTCGATTGGGCGGTAGATTCGTGTCTTGATTATTTAAGGGAAAACGGCGATGCACCGATAAGCCAGGAATTGCGTCTTGTAACGTCGACTTTAAATCTATTTGAAATATTACTAAAAGACGCCTGTGAAGATGACGCAATCGGTAAAGGAAAGGACAATCACTTTGTCATATGGGCACAGGCTGCCTTAATCTTAGCTATTGCTTGGGGACTGGGTGGAAACCTGACCGAGGATTCGCAAACTCGATTCAATGCTTTTTGCATATCATTTTGGAGTGGTACAAACAAGGAATATCCTAAACCCGACACGATTAAGCATTTTGATATAACGCTGCCTAACGAGGGTTTAATCCAAGACAATTTCTATATCTTCAAGGGTATTGGAAACTGGAAATATTGGGGAGATTTATTGAAAAACGAAAAAATCCCCGAGTTATATGACTTCAATCAAATTTACATTCCAAGTGTCAATAGTATGAAATATAATTATTTGTTTTCGAAACACATCAAATATCGAAAACCTTTCCTACTGTATGGCGGTCCTACGGTTGGAAAAACGAGTATCATGTGCGATTTTCTAAGGAATAAGTTACCGGAAAATTGCTTCTCCAATTTTTTTAGTTTTACTTCCATGGTTACGGTAGCGAGAACACAGAAATCATTGCTGTCAAAATTAAACAAAGTACGACGCACCGCCTACGGACCAGGAAGAAATCAATTCTGCGTAAATTTTATAGACGACGTGAACAGAGCCATTGCGCAAAAACCAGAGACGCGATCCGTATTTGAGCTCTTACGTCAACTTCTCAGTTACGATTACTGCTATAGTACGAATGAATTAAATAAGATTTTCGTACAGGACATTATGTTTACGCTTGCGATTACTACAGGGAAAATCGACGAAGGAATCGTACCTCCTAGATTCTTGAGACACTTCAACACCTACGCGATTTCCGCTCTCACGACGGATAATATATTCAGAATATATTTTAATGTACTGCTCGCTAACTTAAAAAAAAATCTGTTTGCGGCAGATGTCACGGGAAGCGTGACTAGTATGGTAAATGCAACGATTGACGTTTACAAGGCTGTAATACAGACATTGCGGCCTGTGCCCAGCAAACTGTATTATTATTTTGACATGAGAGATATATCCAGAGTGATCGACGGATGCAGCCTGATTCAGAAAGAATCGGTAGAGACAAAGATAACGTTCATTCGATTATGGGTGCACGAGGTTTTACGTGTGTTCAGCGATCGCATGATCGACGAGGGCGATAAGAATTGGCTTTTCCTAAAAATCCGCGAAGCAGTGAAGAGCAACTTTAAGGACTCGTTCGAGATCGCTTTCGATCACTTGCCCAAATATGAAAATCAGATCACTAAGGACAGCTTCAATGATCTTACGTTTGGGAATTTGGACACGGAGAAGAGTGGCAAGTGTAGACGGTATGAAGAAATCAGTTCTACGGAAGCTTTAAAGAATAAAGTTCTCGCTTACTTGGACGAATACAATGCTAACGTCAAAAGAAAGATCAACGTCGTCGTGTGTCGCCATTTATTGGAATCTTTGATCAAAGTTTCCAGAATTCTGGGCACCCCAGGCGGAAACGTGTTGATGATATCTACCGTGGGTTCTGGCAAAAAGTCCACGACCGCTCTCGCCGCCTTTATGCAGCAGCAAAGCTTTTTTGAAACCACCGTCGATTCTTATTACAACATAGAGGCGTGGAAGAATAACTGGAGAATAATTCTGCGGGAATGCGGGGCGTTGCGGAAGGACGTTACGTACTTTATGACTGAAAGGCAGATGAAAGAGGAGTTTTTGAGCGACATTAGCTGTCTGTTAAGCACCGGGGAATTACCCGATCTATTTTCTCCCGGAGACAAGCAAAATATAATCGAAATGACGCGACTGCAGGCTCAGAGTGGTGACCGAAATGCGGAATTCACCGCGCGTTCAGTGATGACCTATTTCGTAGATCAATGTAAAAACAGATTACACTTCGTGCTTTGTTTTAGTCCTACCAGTGCCGCATTTCGGACATATCTGTGCTCGTATCCTAACTTGATGAAACACTGCACGATAAACTGTTATCAAGTTTGGCCTAACGAGGCGCTCTTAGAAATTGCCGTGAAACACATGAGGGACGTCAATGTACAAGAAGAAATTAAAATTGACGCAGCGAGGGTTTGTGTGCAATTCCACAACAGTGCGAAAGAGATAAGTTTGAAATATCGCGAAATGTTTGGTAGAACGATTCACGTGACATCGTCGGCCTTTCTGCATATGCTCAAATTGTACACACGCTTGACATCAAAGAAACAAGAAGAGATCGTCGCGATGCGAAATAAATACATAGCGGGATTGGAAAAGTTGGAATTGGCAGCCGAGCAGGTCGAGCAGATGAAGACGACCTTGACAATCTTGAAACCACAATTGGAGTTGTCCGCTCAGCAGACCGTGATCACCATGAAAGAGGTGGAGAACGAGAACATCATCGTGGAGCGAGCCACGATTCTCGTAAAAAAGGAAGAAGAAATCGCGAATAGGAAAGCGGAAATCGCGGGTACCTTGAAAACCGAGTGCGAGGCCGATCTCGCCGTCGCAATACCGATTCTGGAGGACGCGGTGGTCGCGTTGAATACTTTGAAACCGACCGACATCACGCTGGTAAAAGCGATGAAGAATCCCCCCGACACCATCAAGCTGGTGATGGCTGCCGTTTGCGTGATGCTGGGTGTCCCTCCGGATCGCAGTATCGATCCGGTCACCGGGAAGAAATTCACGGACTATTGGGGGCCGAGTAAGCGCATTCTAGGCGATATGAATTTTCTACAGAACTTGAAGGACTACGACAAGGACAACATAGCTCCCACGGTGATGCAGATCATCAAGAAGACATACATGACGGACAACAGTTTCATGCCTCACATTGTTGCGAAAGCTTCCAGCGCTGCCGAGGGCCTTTGCAAATGGGTTCGCGCCATGGTGTCTTACGACGAAGTAGCAAAAGTCGTCGCGCCTAAGAAGAAGAAACTGATGGCAGCACAAAAGGAATGCGACGAAGCTGAAGCATTCTTAAATGAAAAACGACAGACCTTGGCCGCCTTGAACGCGAAACTGGCGGCGCTGAACGACAGCCTGCGACAAACACTGCAGAAGAAACTGAACTTGGAGACGGAAGTGGCAACGTGCACTGCCAAACTAGTCAAGGCTGAGAAGCTAATCGCCAGTTTGGGAGGCGAGAAGAGTCATTGGATGCAATGCGTTCATAATCTTCAAATGAATTACGACAGTCTTGTGGGCGACATGTTACTCTCGTGCGGAATAATAGCTTACATGGCATCCTATAATATCTCCTTTCGCGACGAGATGTTAATCAAGTGGAAAGAATTTATGAAAGCTTCGAAAATACCTTATACTAAAACGTACGATTTCATAAGCGTTCTTGGTGTCGAAATCGAAATCAATCATTGGCAACTTTGTGGCCTATCGAAAAATCGATTTGCAATAGAGAACGCCATCATCTTAAATAATTCGGAACAGTGGTGTCTTTTCATCGATTCGCAGATTCAAATAAATCAATGGATCAAAAAAATCGAGAAGAAAAATAACTTAAGAGTCATTAAACAAACAGATTCCGATTACATGTCGGTTATTGAACAAAACATTGAAACCGGCATTCCAGTTTTGCTAGAAAATATCGGAGAGAAACTCGAAATCTCACTGGAACCAATCCTATTGAAGAATATTTACAAAAATGAAGATTGGTACATCGATATCGGAACTAAATCTGTGAAATACTCGCAAAACTTTCGATTTTACATCACCACAAGATTATCGAATCCAAATTATACGGCCGATGTTTTCAATAAACTTACGATAATCGACTTCTCGATGCCAGATGGAACTCTTCGAGATAAGCTTCTGGATATCGTTATTTCGAAAGAAAAACCAGAGCTTCAAGAAAAATTTGAAACACTTCGTATTCAGGATGCCGCTAACAAGAAAGTTCTTCAACAACAAGAGGACAATATCTTAAGCACTCTCTCGTCAACTACTACAAATATTCTGGAGGACGAGAACGCCATACTGATTTTAGATTCTTCCAAAACTCTCACTGTGGACATCATGAAGAAACAAGAAGTAGCCAAAGCGATGACAGAAGATATCAACAAATTCAGAGATGAGTACTTACATTTCGCTGATCATTGCGCAGGTTTATTCTGTACATTAACTAGTCTATCCCAATTAAATCACATGTATCGATTTTCATTTTCTTGGTTTATCCAGTTATACATTACCTCGATCGAAACTTCAAACAGGAGCGTTGTTCTTGAAAAACGATTACAATTCCTCAGATCTTCATTTACAAGGAATCTTCATTCCAGCGTTTGCAGATCGCTCTTTGAAAAACACAAGCTTTTATATTCCTTTTTGCTGTGCGTAAAAGTTTTGATAGACGATCAGCAGACTACGCGGGACGAAGTTAAATACTTCATCTCTTTAGATGCGGAAGACATCTGCGATACGATTCTAAAAGTATCAGTACCGGATTGGTTACCGATGGACAAATGGAGACAAATTTGCAGATTGAGCAGCGCAGTGTCTGATTTAAACAATCTAGCGGATGACTTTTGTGTCAACGGCACAGCCTGGGAGAGGTATTGCAACGCGATTCCGTTTCAAAGTCACTTGATACCGAAACCGTGGGTAGACAATCTGACCCGATTTCAAAAGCTGATGCTCATAAAGATCGTAAGGTATGACAAGATCATCGTGGAAATAATGCGGCTGATAGAAGATACGATGGAGGACGTGTTCAATTCCTACCCTCGCCTTCAGATATCCGAATCCTACGCGGAATCGAGTTGCCTCACGCCGATTATATTTATCCTGCCGAGTTACACCTCACCCCTGTCGCTCGTCTCCACGTATGCGAGCGCGAGAGGATACACCTCAAAGTTCACTTCTCTATCCCTCGGTGACGTCAGGCAAATGACCGACGTCGAAGTTCTTCTGGAGCGCGCGCGAAAGGAAGGCGGATGGATATTTCTGCAAAACTGTCATCACGCCACCACGTGGTGGATGTCGCGGCTCGAACGAATCTGCGAGAACCTGAATGTGTTGTCTGGCACATCGTTGGATTTTAGACTGTGGCTGTCCAGCTGTTCGATTCCAAATTTTCCGATTGGTATCTTGCAAAGTAGCGTGAAGATCGCGTACGACTATCCGCTTCAATTGAAGCAGAGTTTGCTGAGAGCTTACCGGTCGGAGCCCGTAAGAAGCAAAGAATTTTACGATGGCTGCCCCGGGAAAGACAAGGAATTCTCCAAACTCCTTTACGGGCTCTGCTTCTTCCACGGAATCGTCAGAGGAAGAGGACACTTTGGACCGCAAGGCTGGAACGTTCCGTACAACTTCGGTCACGTGGACTTTGAGATATCCATTAGACAGCTGCAGAGTTTAATCAGGGAAACCCCGAGCGTACCGTTCGGCACGCTGCTTTATCTCATCGGAGAGTGTAACTACGGCGGAAAGGTCACGGATCGTTTCGATCAGAGGTGCCTGCGACACCTGCTAGAATCTTTCTGCAATACTCGCGTGATTGATAATGCTGAATATTCCTTTTCCAACTGTGTCGAGCACTTGGTACCGCAAAGGTGCGAGTATCGCGATATCATCGTGCACATTGGCAATATGCAACTGGACGCATCGGCGGAAGCCTTTGCGTCCGATGAAAATGCTCTTATTACAAAGGACACGATCGTCGCCGGAGAATTCCTAGAATCGATATCCCGTCTGGACCGAATTAGATCGTCGGACGACGAAATTACACAAGATCATCAGGCATCGCTGGCGATTGATGAGATTAAACGCAAATTACCCGTGTTATTTAACATCGACGAGATACAAGACAGGCATCCTCCGATCTCGCGCAAACCGCTAAACGCGATTCTCATCCACGAAGCTAAATTGATTAATAGGATCTTGGCGGTGATCGCTGACTCTTTGAATAATTTAAAATCAGCGTTGATCGGCGAGGCCATTTTGACCGAGTCTTTGGAAGATCTGTCGAGAGAAATATCCAATAACGAAGTTCCGAGCGTCTGGAGACCGATCGATGTCGGCATTGCGACTGAACGTCTAACGAGTTACATCAGCCTGCTCTTGAAGCGAGTAAACTTCGTGCAAAGTTGGCGTGACGACGATCTACCTCGCGTAATTCACCTCGACGCGTTGTCTTGTTGCACGAGATTTCTATCCGCAGCTCTTCTCACGTTCTCACGATGTCGCAGCATACCTGTCGAACAAATTGCGACGGTTTTCGAAGTGACAAATGACGATGTTTCTATGCGCGGCAAAGAAGACACAGACGTTTATTATATTCACAATTTACATTTATCTGGCGCCCGATGGGATATGCAGAAGCGTATGTTAGCTCAAAGTTTGACAAATATATTTTGGTACAATATGCCACCGGTACGTCTTACATTCAGTAAAGAAAATAGAATTATCGATAATATGTACGAATGTCCTGTATACGTGTCGCCGATGCGATACGATAAAATAGATATTGATGTGAGTATGAATAGACTGAGTATGAATTATATTACAAGTGTACCTTTAGAAACTGATAAGTCGCACGAATATTGGATAAAACGTGGCACGGCATTATTCTGTCAGAGTGAGAAATAATTAACCGACTCTTTTGTGCTCTTGATTATGTAATTTTCATAGAATGAATAAGGATTGAAAATCTCGTCTACAATTTAATTTAATTTCTCAGTTAAATATACAAATTAATCTATATAATATAATCTGTTTATGTTAAGTGAGATTAATATAAAAAGAGAAATTAATTATATTAGAGATTTCTCAAAATGTATTTTGTAATTATCAGTGTATGTCGTTCTTTGAAATTGAAGAACAATACAGAAGACTATCATAAAAATCAAGTCGAAAAAATTGAAAAGCTAAAAATATATTTATTATAAGTATAACTCTTCCGTATGTTTTATATTTAACTGTATACAAATTATTATTATTATTTATTTGTAATAAAATGTTTCTACACTGAAGTGTACGCGCGCGCGCGCGCGCGCACACACACACACACACACACACACACACACACACACACTTAGTTGCTAAATTTCTATATATGAGTAGTGTATATAACATATAAAAGCGAAAGGCAAAATTCGCATCGTTCGCTCAGTTTTAGTTCTTGTAGAACAGATGCCCATGATTTCATATGCGCAAAACATATACAAATTGTGAATAATATCGAATAAATTATGAATAATATCGATATAAGTTGTGAAGTCTCAACACTTCATGCACTAATTGAATTTTAATTAGGATCATCGGATAACAGATAGATAAATTTTACAATAAATGTGTTTTCAATTTTTCATTATATTCTACAAACAACAATACTGTAATATCCAAAAATTTATTTTGATGAAAAACGCTGTCATCAAAAAATTTTCTTGTTCTTAATGCAGAATTTTTTTAAAAACAGTAGTTGTGTAAATTGCGCCATTACGTTTCAATAGCTCATATCAATATCAATATGATATATTACTATGATATATGACAATACAATATCCTCATGATATATCTTTAAATATTAATATATTTAATAAATACTCCTAGAATATAAAACATACAAGACAACTATATCAAATAAAGCGATATTACTCTGACATTGCTAAAATGTAATGCATGAATATACTTTTAAAAAGTAAACGATAATACTAATGAAGAAAATGTTATATAATATGAAATTTACCACGGAATATTGTATTTTCATTTTTGTTTTTATACCAAATATGAAGTAAAAATATATATATATATCTAAGTACGGTAGATGTTTATTGTTAAATGTCATTTAATCTAAGTATCATTTAATCTATCAATAATAGATCTAATATTTTAATTGGGTATTATTATAAAAACTTAGGGAAGAACGAATATATTTTAATAGAAATATTTTTCGGTTTTTATTTATTAATACAAGACATGCTCTTTCTTTCTACTATTTTTTACAATCCAATATTTATTTTATTTTAAATTTTTTCTATTTGCACATATATTTCTAAATAAATGTTAATTAGAAAATTCTAAAAACAGAATTCTAATTTATATACGCGTATAATGTTTATAATAAATTCATTTAGGAAAACATCTTTAAAAAGAAAATAATATCACTTTATATGTTATTGTTTTTATAACTTTTTGTAGAATGTTTACCAAGTACATATCTTATAACAAAATCAAAATCCTTTCCAAAATTCTATAAATATTATAACATTATTTTTATACAAATTTAACAAATTTTCATTATCATGCAACATAAGTCATTGTGAATCATTAATTTCCAATAGTTAATAGACTTTTTAATTTTTGTTATACAATAATTATAGCATAATAATGTGTATGTTTGCACAAATTTCCTATATATATTACGTGTAAGTTTTAATTTTTAATAATTAAGGGGATCCTAAAATCGGTTCCTAACATTTTAATTGTATTTATAGAATTTCAAATATTGAGGATTGCAATGCCATATATAATTTAAACTTTTGAACCAATTATCAATATTCATGCCATTTCTCGTTAGTTATTTTGTAATTTTTTTCGTAAAGCGCGATAATCAATTTCGAAAAATAGATTTTTGACGAGCCAACTAGTCAAAAATAAGACTAATGTAAAATCATTAGTATCAATTATTTGACACATTTTTTTATACACATACATTTAAAATATACGTACAGAAGTTGTATATACATCATAATATATATTTCTAATAATCATTATAAAATTAACTATATATAAAAATAGTTAACAATATTGACAATATTGAGGTAACAATATTGACAATATATTTCAAAGTAATGCTAACATAAATATCAAAAGGTTCTAATGATTTAGTCTTTTTTTTTCTGAGATTAATTATCGAACGTTACAAAGAGATATATTCTACTTCTACAAAGTGGAAAGCAAGAAAGGTATGAATACCGATATGTGGCTATTTTAACCAAAATGACAAATCCTAGATTGTATTCTGATTTTTTTCTAACAATATTGAAAATCTATAATACCTGACGAATTACGGATACATTTTCAGTACTGGCAATAATGATACACAAAGCAGCATAAATTTAATGCAATTTTCACTTATATAATCCATTAAAAACTAAAGCAGGATGATCTTACATTCATCGTCTATAGTACCTACATAGTGTTTTTTGAGGCGCATTTTTATTTTGTGTTCAGTGTTTTGAAGTAATGAATTAGCAAGAGCCTTATATATCCATTTTTGCATCTGCAAAATTGACATTGTCATGTTAAATATGCATACATTTTGTAAAATCATTAATTTTAGAAAGAAAAATTGCAACGTGAAAAATGACATTGTATAATAATGTTATAACATTAAATGTATGTTATACACATATTCGTTTAGGTGCTTTCTTACAGGCTATCTAATAATTATTGACAGAGAGCTTATATGTGCAGATAGAGATGATTTTACTGACAATAAATTAAAAAATCCTTACAGCCTCGCGAGTTTCGCAATTAATAAAAGGTTATTAATTAATAAAAAATTAAGTGCGAATTTGCGTGGAGGGGCAGTTCAATATTACGCACATTTACTGTTAGGAATGCGATAAGATGTTTGAGTCAGTTTGATTTACAAATAATGGAATATTCGCTTATTTGCTAGCATTCAAATATCTCGCAATGTTTCTAGCAACAATGAAAGCTGTCTTTCAAACGCATATGTTTATTCACAATTTCTTATTAATCAATGACTTACTAGCAATTGGGAAATACGAAAAATGCAGGACTCTTTATCCTATTTTCACAATTCTACTTGCATACAAATTTGCGTCAATAAGTATAAGGAATCCTTTATATCACATGAAAGTATATCAAGTTTTAGAAAATATTAAAGAAATTGTTTACCGCGTTAAAAGTATTATTTTTAATAAACTGACCACGCACTAACAACCGCATCTTAACTATTAGTGCCTTAATTTAGAAAATACGTTATTTTTTTGTAAATAAAATAATTTTTTAAAATTTTTATGTTGTAATGAATAACAATATACATACATATACATTAAAAATTAACAATTTTACTGAATATTATGAAATAAATACGAATAAAGTATTATTTTCTTTATGTCACATTTATATGTTATTAATCTAATTTCTTACTCAATAATTAAAATAAAATTTTTGTAACAATATGATATATAAAATATATTTAAAAAATCGTAATTTAATAAAAATACATGAAAAGAACAAGAGTTGCTGTGCTTGATAAAACTTACCTCACAGAATAATTTGCTAGAATAAGTATAATTTATAATAATAATTAATGCTGCGGTTGTACTCATCTCTCTAAAAAAAATTTGCATGTAATATAATACAAGAAAATAATGTAATAAAATTTTAATTGCATTCAAATGAAAAATTTGCATTAAAAATTTAGAATTTGTGAAAACATATTATTACTTAGGTTTGATTTCTTCCAAATTGTTTAATAAAATGTTATTCATTAAATCATTTGCATGTCTCTGAGTAACGTAATAAAACCAATAAATGTAGTTTTTAACACAGATTCTCTTTGCATTATCCTCTGTTCTATAAGAAAACAGGCAATTAATTCTTAACTTTTTTAGCCTATCAGAGAGAGACAGGAGACTATATATATCATTGCAACAAGCTAGAGGTTTCAACATTTCTGGATCTTTAATTTTCAAAATTTCATCCAAATGTTTAAATAGTTTGTTAAGAGAAATGCTAGAATTATATAAACCATTACAAAACGTCCATTCCCTCCACCATGGTAATAGTTTATTTTCTCTAAAACATTTTATCATAAAATTATGATTTGTATTTTCACATATTTTTATTTAGAAATATGACGTGTACTGCAGACATTGTAAAAAATATTACAACAAAAGAACTAATAATTACGTCGGATTTGACAAATGCCCTTGCAATTTATATTCTGCATATTTTTTGCATTCGCTATCACCGAGAACACAAGCCCATCTTAAAGCTTCTTGCCTTAAACATTTAAGAAGATTGTCGTCGTTAGGTTTTTCTTCGTATCCAATGTTTACAAGAAGCGGAATCAGTAGCTTTCGTAGTCTCATCTAAATATTGTGAAGTAACATAAAGGTAACATTAATTATTCAAAAAATTTTAAACTCGGTCTTGTAAAAACGTAAAAACTTTATTTTTAAATTAGGAGCACAATATTTTTTTAAAATCATTTAAATAATTATTAAAAATAAAATTAATTTTGAACATAACAACACAAAAAATTGTTTTTTTTTTTAAGCGCTTTTACCTTGAAAGTAGTAGTATTGACATTAGGAAACAGTAGGGTGTGTGACTCATGCTCAATAACTTTGAACATAGGATACCATGCTATATAATCCGTTTCCCATTTTAAGTAGTTTATGACTTCCCAAAATACAGAAGAATTTAATTCGCCTGATATTGTTAAATGGAACGTGTCGTCGATGAGTTGAGCACGATTTAAAACATTAATATTTGTATAATTTTCGGAATTAAGATAATCTATGATTCTTAACCAACTTTCTCTGTTATAAAATACACGGTAATATCCTGACATGTGATAAATAAATATTATTTGTCATTAAATTATATTAAATTATAATATAATTGATATTAATTAGAGACAGAATATCATTAAATGTTATTTTTATTTTTAAACGTGAACAAAAATACCATTATTAAGTAACAATTTAGCTTATTATTATTATAAGTAATAAAAAATTGGTATTTACAAACTGATGTAATATTGAATTTTACGTCGAATATTGCGAATCATTCAATTGACAACTTTGTTACAGCAATATAATAAATTTATGAAACTTAAGCTTTGTTTATAAATATTGCATATCAGAACAGAATAATATCAAAAAAATTTACTGAAATATATGAACATAATTATAAATTAATAATTAATAAAATTAATAAAAAAATTAATAAAATTAATTGCGTTAAATGTAATTCGATTAAGAAAAGACTAATTGTAGATAAATTAAAATCACTAAAAGCAGTATAGACATTATTCTAATTTACCTTAGATATGCAATTTTAAAATTATATGTATCCTATTTAAGAATTCTGTTACAAAGTCAAGAATATAAGTCAAGAATCTTTTCTTTTTCATAGTTAACTTGTCTTCATAATACAAGATGAATGAATTAATGATATTCCACATTAAAGTTCTCGATCGTTATTTACCTGTTTGTTGCCGATTGATTATTATAAACTGATTGTGTTCAGAATTGTTGCAACATTTTGCAAGAAAGTGCTTTTGTTCTCGGGCTAGAGAACAAATTTTGGATAAAATTCGTTTTAAATTTATGTACACTTGATTTGTTAATGGTACCGTCCAGTTTTTGGAAATAGTTTCTAGAACAATTTTCGTCCATTCGGTATCAAAGATTTCCGTTACATTAAGAATAGGATATTGTTTTTCTTGTATCCAAGGATTCATCAAGTCTTTCACACTCAGTTTCTCCAAATCCATAGTTTGTGAATCGTACACAGATTGCATTACAGTCCAGAAATCGTCTAGACTTCCCATCCTTACAAAAATGTATAAAAATTAATTCTATTCACGATGTATATTCTATGATAAAGACAATATCAACAAACATAATTTTCTCGATATAGCAAATAAACGCAAATTTATACAATTTTTATAATTGTTTATGATTGAAAAACACGGATAATTTGCATCATTCCCTCAATTTAGTTATTAGGGGTACGTGTGGAATAGATGCGTTTGACTTTATTTGCGCAAGACTGCAATATAATTTGTAAAGTTTCAATGCCGACTGCATCGATTGAATTTTAATTGGGTTTTTAATTTTTATCATTACCATCTACAAACGAAAATACATATAATATAATATAATGATATAATCAAATCATAATTATATTAAATTTTAATGCTGATTAATCATTGATTCCGAATAGCAAATTTTTGAATATAAAATTTTCTTTTTTTTTAACTACATGTCATTTAAATTTCTTCTTTCGAGAAGTAAAATAGTATTTGAGAAAATTATTTTACATGTAGTAACATAGTTGTTATACAGCACAAAAATAGCAAAAAATATAGTAAATTATTATTTACATATAACTTTATCATGTAACGAAAAATGAAAACGTATTCATTTGACAAAAAGGAAAAAAGAGAAGAGATGTAAGACATGAAATATACTTACTCTCTTTTTATATACACGTTAATCCCTTTCTGAAAAATGTCATTACCCACTGTATGATGTAACATACGTAATATAAAAGGTGCTACAACAGATGAGCGTTATAAGATCAAATACGCAAGAAATTATATCTACAATAAATTTATCGAAGTTCTCAGAAATATTGATAAAACAATTAATGAAAAATTTCGATGCTTTTCGAATATATATTTGTTTTAGAACATGTCTTTATTTATTTCAATGAATTAGAAAATATGGAAATTGAAGTGAAAACTTATTTTTGAAACAGTTCTTCAATAATTTTACATGTTTTAATTGTTTTAATGTTAGTTATTTAGTACATGTTACCTTTTATATAATAGGTAAAAAAGAAGAGGGAATTAATTTTTTTAGAGATACCGTTAACTTCTGAATTAAGAGGGTTCATAATTTGTGAATCATCTAGACGGAGAGATTCTTGTTGAGTCTGAACTACGAACAAATCCAACATCCGACTCTCTGGCATAATCTAGACAATACAAGTATAGTCAAATAAATAATAATTTAATTATTAGTTTATTATCATTAGTTTAATAACCCTTAACAATGTAATTAAATTAATAAAAATTTTATAAATGATTTCTCATGAATGCGACAAAATTCCTTTCGTTCAATTTAAATATCATTGAAAATATTGGGAGAATATTCTTTCTCTCCTCGTGTGCTTTCAAATAGAACTTATGTTCAGTTTTCTTTAAAAGTATTATCACACACATGAGAAAATACCTGATTGATTGTATACACGCCGAACAACGTAGCAATACCCTCGTTCAGCCACATGCAAGACCACCATAATGGACTAATCGCAGTACCAACCACTTTACGTCCTATTATACGTGATAACTCTATTTTGCGTGCGATGGGATCTATTTTTTCATTATAAATAATATCTTCTTCTCTAAACATACAAACGATTTTTTATATACATGTCACAAATATTCACAATATGCTATTTTTTATTACTAATAACATTACATACCATATGTAATATTTAGTACGTTTTTTCATTCTACAATTGTTTTATTATAAAAAAGTATAAAAAATTATTTTTTAAAAACATATTCTACCTATAAAGTAGGAACTGCAATTTATTCACGCCATCATCTGTCAAACCTGCAATCGCAAATTGATTTCTTAATAATCCTTCCTCTAGTTGCCATGTATGTGCAACAGTATGTATAACATTTCCAATTAAGTTCAAAATTTTATCCCATTGTACTTCCATCAACTCTCTTCTCCATAATTTGGGATTTCTCCATAATTCTCCATAGTTTTGTATAGGAGAAATAGCAGTATAGTCATGCTTATCAAATATAACAATTCCTATTTGATACGTGGGTATTTCAGAAGTTATGATATAGTGTGTCGTCAAAGGCGGTTTTGATGTAGTTAAAAGACAAGCTGAATTTGAAAAAACATTGTAATTTTCAGGAAGGTTTACAGCAATGAAAAATTTAGCTTTTAATCCGGGTTCGTCCCAACATGGAAAGAGACGTCGCATTCCTGTCGCTGAGTTATTTGTTACGATCAGCCATCTAACATATTCAATTAATTTTGTTAATTGTGTAATGAGACAATTTTTTATTTTCAATAACATTTAAATTAATACAGAAACTGGGGAAAGAGCGAATATATTTTAATAGAAATATTTTTGCAGCTTTTATGTTTTATTAGTGCAAAACGTGATCTTCCTTTCTACTACTTTTTTATAATCCAATATATTTATTATGCACATATACATATACAGATTATAAATAAATGTTAAAAGATTCGTATTAAAAATTCTATTTTATATACGCGGATAATATTTATAAAGAATTTATTTAATAAAACATCTTTAAGGAAGGAATAATAATAATAATTTTATACGTTGTTATTTTCATAACTTTTTGCAGAGTGTTTACTTTAGTTAACTATCCATTTTACAACCAAAACTTTTTCTAAAACTTTGTTAAATATTATAACATTTACAGAGTTATAAACATATTATTTTTATATTCATCATTATGACATATTATTTTTCATATATTTAACGAACTTTATTAGACCGCCTATATCATTGTGAATCATTAATAGTTCATAGACGCTTTTCAATTTTTATTATATAATATTTATTAGTACTTAATAGATATAAATGGTAAACTCATTTTAGACATTATTACATAATATTTTTAATGTAATGTTTACGTTTTCTTACTCACTTTTTTTCTCTTATCGCATTTATATAAGAAACCTTGACAAAACCTCCGACATCATTTGTAATGACACCTTTATACGTTATGCTCAAAGTATAATTACCAGGATGTAGGACACGAAAGAAATCCAAGACGACAATTTCCAGTTCGTGTATATACGAAATATTACATGCTTTACGAGTTATTATATATTTATCAGTCTTTCCAGTTAATATGACTTGAGTTATTTCCAAATTTGCTGAATGCAGGCTTATATTTTGTGTAGCCTTAAGAATCATAAACATAATATGACATTTTCCATAGAAGACATCCTCTTCTGTTACTAATGTTAGTTCAATTTTGTATTCTTTTGG